CAAGAGATCGAGACTATCCTGGTCAACATGGTGAAACCCCGTCTCTACTAAAAATACAAAAAATTAGCTGGGCATGGTGGCGCGTGCCTGTAATCCCAGCTACTCAGGAGGCTGAGGCAGGAGAATTGCCTGAACCCAGGAGGCGGAGGTTGCCGTGTGCCGAGATGGCGCCATTGCACTCCAGCCTGGGTAACAAGAGCGAAACTGCATCTCAAAAAAAAAAAAAAAGAAAATGGTTTCCTTAAGTGAGATGATTCTTCTAAGAATTGCAACTGTGGGACTGGGTGCCGTGGCTCCAGCCTGTAATCTTAGCACTTTGGGAGGCCGAGGCGGCAGATCAACTGAAGTCAGGAGTTCAAGACCAGCTTGGCCAACATGGGGAAACCCTGTCTCTCCTAAAAATACAAAAAAATTAGCTGGGCATGGTGGTGCCTGCCTGTACTCCCAGCTACTCGGGAGGCTGAGGCAGGAGAATCGCTTGAATTCGGGAGGTGGAAGTTGCAGTGAGGCGAGATAGCACCGTTCCACTCCAGCTTGGACAAGAGGGAAACTCCATCTCAAAAAAAAAAAAAAAAAATTGCAACTGCGATGTTTCTGCCTTGTTCTAATCCACTTTAGTTAAAGGCACACAAATTGATGGGGGTTTTAGCTCTGTGCAAAGTTAGCATCACTGAGGACTTTTCTACCAAGCACAGGGCTAATATCTTTACATGCATACATCATTACATTTAAACCTCATGGGAAACCTGTGAGCTAGATACTATTATTATCCCCATTTGACAGCTGATGAAACCAAATTGGGAGAGATCAAGTCATTTGCCCAAGGCCAATGGGATTCAGCTGGTAACTGAATCCCAGTGAAACTGGGATTTGAACCAAATCTGTCTGACTTCAGGGTCTTTGCTTTCACCCACAATGCGGAGAGTATACAAATGTTTCAGATATGGTACCTGCCTAGATGCCAGAAACAACATATAGGTCTATTTGGCAAGGCAAAATACAAGAGTGAAAAAGGAAGGAATAAGGAAGGAACGCGGCTGTGCATCACATAAATTGGACATCCCTTGCTTTAAGACCTCAGAGAGAGGAGAGGGCAGGGAGGGCCTGGCTCACAGCATTTCAGGAAACTGTATCAGGAAGAAGCAACTCTTGAGCCAGGGTTTGGATTTGTAGGGACACTTCCTAACCTTTCTTACTTAATTTTATACAGCTGTATGTAAAATTAAGTGTTTTCCATTTTTTTCTAAACCTTTTAGTTTACACAGCTGTGTGTTTATGTACGTTTCTGCCTGTGTGAGCTACGGTGTCCTAATAAAACATAGGCAATTTAGTAACATGATGTAAACATACAGAATTGTTTAACAAGTAGCAGGAAAAGACATCCAGTAACAGGAAAGGACACCCAAATCCATGTTGGTCACCTTAGGAAAGCAGGGTTGCCAAACTATTTATTGCTCATAGGCCAAATCTGTCATGCCACCTGGTTTTTATGGCCTGCTAAGAATGGTTTTTAGGCCAGGTGTGGTGGCTCACGCCTATAATCCCAGCACTTTGGGAGGCCGAGGCAGGTGGATCACGAGGTCAAGAGACCGAGACCATCCTGGTCAACAAGGTGAAACCCCGTCTCTACTAAAAATACAAAAATTAACTGGGCATGGCAGCGCATGCCTGTAGTCCCAGCTACTCCGGAGGCTGAGGCAGGAGAATTGCTTGAACCCAGGAGGCGGAGGTTGCGGTGAGCCAAGATCGTGCCATTGCACTCCAGTCTGGGTAACAAGAGCGAAACTCCGTCTCAAAAAAAAAAGAATGGTTTTTACATTTTTCTTTTTTCTTTTTGTCAAGATGGGTCTTCCCATGTTGTCCAGGCTGGTCTCAAACTTCTAGGCTCAAGTGATCCTCCCATACTGGCCTCCCAAAGTGTTGAGATTGTAATCACACATGTAGGGGTGAGCCACTACCGCTGGCCTTTCACATTTTTCAATGGTTAAAAATCAAAACAGTAATATTTTGTGACTTATGAAAATTGTATGAAATTCAGCTTTCCGTGTTTGTAAATAAAGTTTTATTGAAACACTGCCGCATGCATTCATTTACTATTTCCTGTGGCTGCTAGGAGGGCAGGGTTGAGTAGCCGCATTAGAGCGCCTATGGCTTGCAAAGCCTAAAATATTTACTATCTGGCCCTTTGCAAAGTTTGCTGACCCCTGCCTTACAGTCATAAATGCTCCAGATAATCTCCACCAGCTCTGATACATATCTGGGGAGGTGGGGAGGAGAAAATACAAGAATATAGAAAAGTACAGGACTGTGCATCCCTCATTCAGAACTGACTGTTGCTAACCGTTTGCCATTTGCCTCACAGCCATTTATTAGTACTAAGAGGGATAAAACTTGACGACATGCCTTATGCTCCCCGGCCTGTTCTGTGCCTACTTTCTTCTTGCAGCAGACTGTCACGAATTTAATGTATATTCTTCCCTGTGACTTTAAAAACACTTGTATGTAAGCATGTGTCCATGAACAGTATCTACAGTGTGGGATTGTAAGATACACACACATTGTGTATTGTGCTGTATTCTGCAACTTGCTTTTTTACTCAACATTCTGTTTTTGGGATTTCCTTATGTCAGCACAGATCTAATGCACCACTTTTATTTTTTGTTATTATTATTATTTTTTGAGATGGAATTTGCCCCTGTTGCCCAGGCTGGAGTGCAATGGCGCAATCTCGCCTCCCTGCAATCTATGCCTCCTGGGTTCAAGTGATTCTCCTGCCTCAGCCTTGAACTCCCACCTCAGGTGATCCACTTGCCTTGGCCTCCTAAAGTGCTGGGATTACAGGCGTGAGCCACTGCACCTGGCTGTTATTTTTTAATTTTAATTTTAAAATATTTTGAGATGGTGTTTTGTTGTGCAGGCTGGAGCACAATGATGAGATTTTGGCTCACCGCAACCTCTGCCTCCTGGGTTTAAGCAATTCTCCTGCCACAGCCTCCTGAGTAGCTGGGATTACAGGTTTGCGCCACCACGGCCCGCTAAATTTTTGTATTTTTAGTAGAGATGGGATTTCTCCATGTTGGTTAGGCTGGTTTTGAACTCCCGACCTCAGGTGATCGGCCCGCCTTGGCCTCCCAAAGTGGTAGGATTACAGGCGTTAGCCACCGCACCCAGCATAATGCACCCCTTTTAACTATTAGACGGTATTCCATCAAACAACTGGAATGAGTTTCATTTATCCATTCCTTAGATGAACATACAGGAAGTTATTCCCAGGTATTTTTTTTTTTGAGACAGTCTTGGTCTGTTGCCCAGGCTAGAGTGTAGTGGTGTGATCTCTCCGCCTCTGGGTTAGCGATTCTCGTGCCTCAGCTTCTGGAGCAGCTGGGATTACAGACATCCGCCACCACACCGGGCTAATTTTTGTATTTTTGATAGAGATGGGGTTTCACCATGCTGGCCAGGCTAGTCTTGAACTCCTGGCCTCAAGTGATCTGCCTTCCTGGGCTTCCCAAAGTGCTGGGGTTACAGGTGTGAGCCACTGCGCCCGGCCTCAGGTTTTACTATTTCCAACAAATGTATGTATGTTGAGTAACATCAGAAGAGGTGGATGGCCAAGTGCGTTGGCTGTAATCCCAGCATTTTGGGAGGCAGAGACAGGAGGATCCCCTGAGCCCAGGAATTCAAGACCAGTCGGGGCACCATAGGGAGAACGCTGTCTCTACAAAAAAAAAAATTAGCTGGGTGTGGTGGCATGTGCTTATAGTCTCAGCTACTCAGGAGGCTGAGGCTAGAGGATCACCTGAGCCTGGGGAGGTCAGGCGGCAGCGAGCCGTAATTGTGCCACTGAACTCCAGCTGGGCAACACAGAGAGAGCCTATCTCCAAAAAAAGGGATTGGGTGAGGGTAGGGGTGAGGGTGAGGGTGGCGGTGGGAGTGGGAGTGGGGGTAGGAGTAGAAGTGGTCTTTTCATTGGCTCACTGCATGTGAGTGATCCTACAGCCTAGAAATACCAGAGCAGCTCATCGGTACGGGCTGGAAATCCACCCAGTTGACCAGATGGCTTTGAACCTTTTATTAATTTGGAGGCTGACTCTTCTCTGAACTCGATTCCCTTTTGGCTGTTTGGCAGGGTCAACGAGACATTCCCTGGGTCGTTCGACGTGGCAGGAATTCAGGGAGCCCTCTAGGTCTCCTTTTCCCCTCTCCCCCGCACAGTGCTGTTATCCCCAACACACACTTAAGGCTCCAGCAAAGTAGGTGCCAAAAAGGGGAGAATGGGAAGAATATGCTGTATCTCACAAAAAGCATCCAAGTAGTCGTCTGGCAAAGCCAGAACTTCAGTGGTGCATCCAGGTGGCCTGAGGATGGGAGAGGAACGCCTTCCTCCAGCCCTTAGGGTGGGCCCTGAGCAAGTGGTCAGTTGGGAGGTGGCTGCGGAAAGGGGTCCCCCAAGCCGGTGGTGGCCCGAAAACTAGGCCGCATCCACCGCCCGGAGCTTAGCGCCGGGGCAGCAGCCGGGTCGCGAGGGGGTGCTCCGGATGTTCCCGCTGGCTTGGGGAACTTTCCCAGGGTCGGCCTGGCGGCGCCCTGCAGTCCCCGCATTTGGCTAAACAAAGCGAGGGTTGCCCGCGCGACCCGCCCGAGGGCGCCGCGGGAAGAACCTGGGCAGGTGCACGCCGCGGGCGAGCGAGGACAAAGTTGCGGCGCCCCATCCCGCGCTCTGCGCCCCGCCAGGCTCTCCCCGCCGCCGCCTCCAATCCTCCTGGCCGGACCTCCCTTCCCTCGCTCTTCGCCTCCTCCCTTTCTTCTCCCTGCCCGCCGCCTCGCAGCTACTTTAGTCTTCGCAGGCTCTCGCCTTCCCACCCCCTCCCGGCGCGGGGTCGAGCGGGCGAGGGCGCGCAGGGGGCGGTGCGCGGCGGGCGCGGGCGTTTCCGCGCTCGGGTTTCCCGCGACCGTGGCCAATCCCGGCGCTGCCCGGGGCGGCGTCGCGCCCGAGCCGAGCCGGGCGGCTCCTCCCGCCCCCGCCCCCCGCGCGCCCGCCGGCAGGGCAGAGGAGAGGAGCGCGCGGCCGCGCAAAGCAAGCCGAGCGGAGCTGAGCCGAGCCGGGGGCGCAGAGCGCGGGAGGCGGCGGCGGCGCGGAGCCCAGGTGAGCCTGGCGGTAGCGGGGCCCAGGGCTGGGGACGCAGCCGCCGCGGCCCCGGGCGCCTGCTCCTTTTCCCTCTCAAGGCGGGGGACAGCCGCCGGGATGGCACACAAAGCCCCGAGGCTGGCCTGGGGCTCTTAACGCCGAGGGACCCCACGTGCGCCGCCCCACGCCCAGCCACGTGGAGGGACATCATCCCCAACACCCCTTCCCCCACGTCCTCAGTGCGCCCTGGGCCTCGGGATGGCCTCCTCAGCTGGGCCGCGCCCTGTCCGGGTGGCAGGGGCGGTCCTGGAGTTTGGAACCGCTGCCACTGGGGGCCGGGGCCGTCAGGGTTCGTGGAGGCGGCCGAGGCCCACCCCCTCGCGTTTGACAGGTGGGGAAACCTGGAGCGCTCCCGGGAAGAGAGCACCAGCGGACTTCAGGCACCCCCACCCCGCAGCCTGCCTATCTCGGGGCAAACCCAGGCCCTGGTGGCTTGGACACCAGGTGGCAGGACCCTAGGCCAGCAGTTGCGGGGACGTAGGGGACCTTTGGCTGTCTTCGGTCTGCCTTTTCACCACCCCAGCCGCACCTCTTTTCTCAGCCGGAGCCTCACAGGCTTCGTCCTTCTGACCTAAATTCACCTCGGGGCTGCAGTATGCTGTGAATGCAGAGAGGTGTCCGCCTGATTCTCAGGGACGCTGGACCCAGCCCCTCTTAGCATTGGGGCTCGGTGCCTGGGGTGCCACCCCACCCAGCCTTGAGCTTTTCCTGGCTTTCCCCCAGTCCCTGCACTGCCCAGTTGAGGAAGTGGGGTGCTTCCGCAGCTCTGCCAACCTGTCCCCCAGCCACTCTCACTTGGTGCCCCTCCAATCTCCCTCAGAAGGTTGAGGGGGAGAGATGGAGTTTTGGGGAGGGCATCTCAGTGCCATCAGCAAGAGAGGGGTACCTGGCCTCCACATGGGACCTGCAGTGTCCATCTTCCTACAGGCAACTTTTACCTTCTCCAACCTGGTGTTGGGAGTCCCCACGCAGGGGACAGAAACTTCAGGTGCCCTAGAGCTGTGCTGCCGTTAACCACTCCCCTCCCCTAGCTCTGCCTCCAGAGGAGAGAGAATAGGATGGCTTTATGTCCCCATAAGCTCCTTTGTTCCTTGGAGGAGGCGGGGGCTGCAGTAAGGGGAGGGCTTTGGGGGAGTCAGCCGCCCTCTTCCCTAATCACCCCACAAAAACGTGCAGTTTCGGAATAAACAGTGTGCAGGACACGCAAATGCAGCTTTAGGGTGAGCCCCTGATCCCCTTCCAGACTGCTACTCGTATACCCTTCCTGTGGAGGAAGCAGGCATTGATGAGGACGCGAAACACATTTTTGTAATGAAGAGTAACAGCCATCATTTGATGAGCCCCTAACTTGGATAATAATAATTCTTATTTTTTTTTAATTTATTGAGAGTGAGTCTTGCTCTGTTGCCCAGGCTGGAGTGTAGTGGCATGACCTCAGTTCCTGGGTTCAAGCGATTCTCGTGCCTCAGCCTTCCCAGTAGCTGGGACTATAGGCATCCTACACCATGCCTGGCTAAGTTTTGTATTTTTAGTAGAGACAGGGTTTCACCACGTTGGCCAGGCTGGTCTTAAACTTCTGACCTCAAGCGATCCACCTACCTCAGCCTCCCAAAGTGCTGGGATTATAGGCATGAGCCACCTGCGGGCCTAGACAATAATAATTACAATGTTAACAACTAATATCTATTGAGTTCTTGCTGCGTGCCAGATTCTGTGCTGTGTTGCTTGCATTATCTCATTTAATGCCTACCAAATCCTACAAAGCAGGGCATTCTAGACCTATTGTAGAGATTAGGAGACTGAGGTTTACAGAAATCCTGCAGTGTTGCTAGGATTTAGCCCCATTTTATGGAAGGGCTCAGAGAAGTTGAGCAGCCCAGGGTCATACAGCCAAGGCAGGCACGTCAGGCCTTAGAACCTTTGTGCTTTGCCACCTGTTCTAGAGCAGAGGCCCTTGCGAGGCTGCCCTCAGCTACTCGAGGAGCCCAGGTGCTTGTCTGTTTGCTGATGCAGCTCTATGCAGGGTCTGTAGTACTGCCCACCCTGAGACTTGCCTAGTGGGCTGGTAGCCAAAGATAGTCACTAGTAACCACGCACTAGTTCTCATCTGGGGGTGGCCCCACCCTCCTGACAAGGATTTGGAAAAGTGTGGGGATGACGTTTGGTTGTCAAAATGACGCTAAGTCCCCCACTGTGAATGCATAAACTCTTCAAAAAAAAAAAATGATGCTAAACACTCTTGGCTTTTAGTGGGCAGGACCCAGGTATGCCCACTAAAGTGTCCAGAGTCACGACGTAAAGCATCACCCTGCTCAAATGCCAGTAGCGCCACTGCTGAATAACGCCATAGGAAATGAGTGCTGTTGCAATGCTAGGAGCAGAGGGCATTGAGGGTTCTGGAGAAATCTCAGACTGGTGTGAATCTGGGAGGCTCCCTGAAGGAGGTATCATTTGTACAGAGCCTTTAAGGATGGGCCAGAAATCAGAGATTGGGTGGGAGTAGGAGAGGAAGAGCATGGGGCGGAATGACCTAGCAGAGGGAACTTTATACGGTAGCAGGGGGTTTCCTCTTTGAGAACCTCATCCTAGATGGAAGATGAATGGCCAGACACCACTCTCAGGGGAAAGGACCAGGCCAAGTGGGGTAGGCCAAGCCTGTTTTGAAGGGATTTTGGCCCCAATTTTTTTTTTTTTTTGTGAGATGGAGTTTCAATCTTGTTACCCAGGCTGGAGTGCAATGGTGCGATCTTGGGTCACCGCAACCTCCGCCTCCTGGGTTCAGACAATTCTCCTGCCTCAGCCTCCTGAGTAGCTGGGATTACAGGCACGCACCACCATGCCCAGCTAATTTTTTGTATTTTTAGTAGAGACGGGGTTTCACCATGTTGACCAGGATGGTCTCGATCTCTTGACCTCTCGATCCACCTGCCTCGGCCTCCCAAAGTGCTGGGATTACAGGCTTGAGCCACCACACCCGGTTTGTTTTGTTTTTTTGAGATGGATTTTCGCTCTTGTGTCCCAAGCTGGAGTGCAATGGCACGATCTTGGCTCACTGCAACCTCCTCCTCCCAGGTTCAAGCGATTCTCCTTTCTCAGCCTCCAGAGCAGCTGGGAGTACAGGCGCATGCTACTAAGCCTGGCTAATTTTTTGTATTTTTAGTAGACACGCGGTTTCACCCTGTTGGCCAGGCTGGTTTCGAATTCCTGACCTCAGGTGATCTGCCTGCCTTAGCCTCTTTGAGTTGAGGCTGAGGCGGGAGGATCACCTGAGGTCAGGAGTTCAAGACCAGCCTGGCCAACAGGGTGAAACCTCATCTCTACCAAAAAATACAAAAATTAGCCAGGTGTGATGGGGTGTGCCTGTGATTCCAGCTACTTGGGAGATTGAGGCAGGAGAATTGCTTGAACCGGGGAGGCAGAGGTTGCAGTGAGCCAAGATCGTGCCACTGAACTTTAGCCTGGGTGATAGAGTGAGACTCTGCCTTTAAAAACAAAAGGAGGAGAGGAAGCCAAGGAAGCCCTGAGAACTCAGGAAGAGAAGGTGCATCAGGAAAGGATACAGACCCCAGAGGACCTTGAGCCTTGATTTTCTCATCTGTGAAATGGAGCCACCCACACCTACCTAGAGGGTGGCTATAGAGTTGATCTTCTATATGGAAGTCCTCAGTACACAGCTCGGCTCAAGGTAATTGTTCCAAAAAGGTCACATCCTCCCTTCCGCTCTGCACTCTGCCTCCCCAGTCTGAAACACGGTGGGGGGGGAGTGGGGGTGCTCAGGGCCGGGGGGCGGGGTTCAGGAGCTGATCTCCGTTGGGCTTCCTGTCAGGCCAGCTTTCCATTTCTGCTTTCTTGGCAGGTATTCCTGGCAAAGCTACAGGACAGACTGGGCTGCCTCCACTCATGGCCACAGGGCCATGGCACTGTCTGTCTGGTTAGGTTTTCTCTACTTTGTAGATTTATTCACTTGGAAAAAAAGTCTCACAAAATATATACTAATAAATCACATGGGGACCTGCATTTAACAAATCATGGCTGGGTACAGTGGCCCACAACTGTAATCCCAACACCTTTGGATGCCAAGGCAGGAGGATCACTTGAGCCCAAGAGTTCAAGACTAGCCTAGACCTTGTCTCTACAAAAAAATTTAAAAATATTAGCCAGGCGTGGTGGTGCAGGCGTGTAGTCCCAGCTACTTGGGGGCTGAGGCAGGGGGATCTCTTGAGCCTGGGAGGTTGAGGCTGCAGTAAGCCATGATGGCACTACTGCCTTTCAGCCTGGGCAACAGAGTGAGACCCCATCTCAGAAACAAAACCAAAACAAACAAATAAACATCATAACTGAAAATAATGGAACTCAATAAAATCTAGGCTGTCCCTGAAAAATCACACTTATAATGAAATCTTGGCTCACTGCAGCCTCCATCTCCGGGGTTCAAGTGATTCTCCTGCCTCAGCCTCTGGAGCAGCTGGGATTACAGGTGTGCACCACCACGCCTGGCTAATTTTTGTATTTTTAGTAGAGACAGGGTTTCACTATGTTAGCTAGGGTGGTCTTGAACTCCTGACCTCAAGTGATCCGCCCACCTGGGCCTCCCAAAGTTCTGGGATTATAGGCGTGAGTCATGGTGCCTGGCTTTGGCTCCTTATCCTGGCAAATTATGCTCATTTTCTGATGGAGTGGAGTCCACCTTCCCTGGGAGGTTATGGGATGGAAAGCGTTTCCGAATAGTTTTTCGGTCTAAAAAATAAGATTTGGCATTACTATTTGTTTTCTACCCTGATTGGACCCCTTCCTCAACAAAACCAAAATAATAACAATAAAAAAGGCATCTTTAAAATGGTGTGTATTCTGTTAGGTGTTGTAGGGAAGACCCCTGGCGCCTGCTTTCCCTGTCAGGGATGTTACTGATCAAAATGGGAAAGGGATGATTTTAGCTGCCCGTGTTTTCAGTTTCTGTGGTGTTTGTCGTATTGCCATTGAATTTCTTTTTTCAATTATGAAACATTTTAAGCATAGAGAAAAGCCAAAGTTTTGTTTTGCTTAGTTTTTTTGAACTGGCTCGCTTTTTGGAAAGCTGGAAGGAGGCCCAGGAGGTGACGGAAACGGGGCAGAGCGGGGTGCCTGGCTCTGTAGCCTCAGCCCTTCACCCAGCCCGCTCTTTTGGTTGGGTGGGGGTGCTGGTGACAAGCTGTGCCCTGGGAACTGAGAAATGCTGGGGCTTGGTTCCTGTCCCCCGAGAAGCTTTCAGGTGAGTGGCCTTTTGGAAAAGATGAACAGTCCTGGCATCCTTTCCCTTTTGAAAAGGAACTAAAGAAAATGAGAAGATTCTGTTGTGCCCCCACCCCCGCCCCCACCCCACCCCATCCTGAAAGCTGCCGAAAAACTATTTTTATGTTGCCTCTTTTTATCCTGGTGGCTTCTGTAAATAGTTGAGAGGCGGCAGTTGCCGAGATAAAAATGCTAATCCCAACCTGGAAAGGGAGAGGGACTGTGGTCCTCGGAGGAGAAGAGGTGGGTGGGAGTCGGCAGGGAGGCCAAGGTGTTGCCCCTCTGTCCATGCTTATGCACGAGGCAGGAACCCAGTGGGTGGGGAAGGAGGCCTGTGGGTGGTGCCTGAGAGAAGCTTCTGTTAGAGAAGTTTAAATGGGGAACTAGTGTTTTGCGGGGGCCAGGGTGCAGGGGGAGAGCACATTCCCTTTTTTTGTTTTTGAAATGTGCTTTGGGGCATTGCCTTCAAGGGCTTCTGGCAGAGAAATACTTCATTTAGGTGCATCCCAGACAGTGCTGCCCTGTGGGTCCAGGCGTGGGGACAGGGTGGGCCCCTCAGAGCTGTTGAGCTGGCATCCTGCGCTCTTCCTGTCCCTCACCTGAGGAGGCTTGCCGCTACGTTTACCATGATGTCCAAAAGGTGGGGAGGAGGGAGGGAGAAGGGTCTTGGGTGGCCCAGGCACTGATGCCTGTGTGTTTCGAGCTGTCCCTCCATCTCTGATTTGCCAAGAGCATGCTGGAGTTGAAGTCTTTTTCTTGTTCATTACAAACTGAAATTCCAGGTGTTTTCCACCTGGAATTCCTTCTGTTCCATGAAAGATTGGGAAGGGTGCAGTGGGGGAAGAGGAAGGAAGATGGTTTCTACTCTTTATTTCTATATCCCTCCCTCCTCTAAACACACACCTAGAGTCACCCCCACATTCGTAATTTCCTCACACTTCAAGACTGGGGCTAACCGTGCACATATGGCTTTATTTTTATTAATAGTTTTAAAAATTTAACATTTTTTTGAGACAGAGCCTTTCTCTATTGCTCAGGCTAGAATGCAGTGGTGCAATCACAGCTCACTACAGCCTCAACCAGCTGGCCTCAAGGGATCCTGCCACCTCAGCCTCCCACGGAGCTGGGACCACAGGTGTGCAGCACCACATTTGGCTAATTTTTAAATTTTTTTTTGTGGCGATGGGGTCTTGCTGTGTTGCCCAAGCTGGTCTCAAACTCCTGGCCTCAAGCAGTTGTCCTGCCTCGGCCTCCCAAAGCACTAGGATTACAGGTGTTAGCCACCACCGTGCCTAGCCCACACTGGGCTTTAGATGCCTGACTGCATGACTGGGGCCATTCTTTCAATGCCATTTTGTTATTGACTGAGTAACAGCTGCCTAAGAACTCTTAAGGCAAGTTGGCCCTGGCGAGCAGCAAGACAGGGGAGCTGCTCTGAGCATCCAGGACGGCAGGGGTCACCGGGCCCTCGTGAGACCTCGTCCTGGTCTCACTGCAAGCCTGCGGGGCTGCCTGGATGAGGTCATCTCAACCTCCCTGAGTGTCAGTGACTGCATCTGCAGCCTCTTGTGTTGATTGCAAAAGCCATGTGAGAGTGTGCTCTTACGACACACGGAAGCAAGGGTGGGAAATTATATGCATACACTGTTTTTAATTTTGCAAAATGTGATACAGATGGGCAAGGGCTAGAAGGGGAAAGGAAAAGAGTGAAGTTAATATGGTGGGATGAGAGATTTAAGAGATTTTGTTTTAAAATTAATTGTAACTGGCTAGGTGCAGTGGCTCACGCCTGTAATCCCAGCACTTTGGAAGGCTGAGACAGGTGGATCTCTTGAGCCCAGGAGTTTGAGACCAGCCTGGAATGTTATCCATCATGTTACATGAAACCCCATCTCTACAGAAAAGACAAAAAATTAGCCAAGTGTGGTGGTGTGTACTTGTAGTCCCAGCTACTCAGGAGGTAAAGTGGGAGGATCACCTGAGCCCAGGAGTTCGAGACTGCAGTGAGCTATGATCGCACCACTGCACTCCAGCCTGGGCGACAGAGTGAGACCCTGTCTCACACACACAAAAAGGAAGCCAATTGAGTGCCTTGAATTTGAATTCAATAACTGCCCAAGTTCTGTCTTGGCAACAGCGTCTATGTGGTGAGCATTCACCCCTGTGCCCTCCTGAAGCACTCACTAGCTGGACGATGGTGGGCAAGTTGGTCGGGCTCCCCGTGCCTCAGTTTCCTCACTGGTGGAACAGGGATAATAATGGGACCTATTTAGCCAGGCATCATGGTGCACACCTGTAGTTGCAGCTACTTAGGGGACTTGAACGCTACAGCCCAGGAGATCAAGTCTGCAGTGAGCCGAGATTGTGCCACTGTACTCCGGCCTGGGTGACAGAGTGAGTCCCAGCTACTCAGGAGGTAAAGTGGGAGGATCACCTGAGCCCAGGAGTTCGAGACTGCAGTGAGCTATGATTGCACCACTGCACTCCAGCCTGGGCGACAGGTTTAGAAAAACTAAACAAAACAGTACCTATAGCTCATAAGGTGGTTATGACAAATAAATGAGATGACACAGGCTTAGAAGAGTGCCAGGCACTGAAGAGGGCTAGCCGTTCGTATCACTGCATCTGCAGCAATGCGATTTTCGGGTTGAAAATGCCAATTTCTTCTCCTCTCCCTGTTCGTCAGCCCTTCCCTGCCCCATCCTTGGTGTTTTCAGATGAAAAGAAAGAAGAAAAGCAGTGTTGGAAGTGCTGGTTTCTGCCTGTCAAGGTGAAGGCTGTCCAGGTTGCCAGAGGCCTTGCAGCTGCCTGGCAGTTTGACTTGGAGAAGAGCCTGGGGGTGTAGGGAGATAGCAGCTTTCCTCTCAGTCAGCTCTGTCATTGGTAAGTCAGGGCCCTTGACTGTAAATGATGGAAAACTTATGAAATAGCATGAGCAAAAATGGAAATGTGTTGACTCATGTAGTTAAAAACTCCTGAGATACATGAGCTTCAGGCATGGCAGAATCCAGGTGCCCAAAGAGTGTCTTCAGTCTCAACTCTTTTCCATCCATTACCTCTTCTCTCTTCTGAGACTTCATTCTGAAGCAGGGTTCTCCCCAGCCCCTGGTAGCTTTAGGAATATATCCTCTGAGCTCTAGGTTCAGTAGAAAGGATATTCTTTTCAACACTTCCACAAAAACACAGAATTAAGTCCCAATAGACTGACTTGGCTCACACATCTCTCTTTTTTTGAGACAGCATTTCACTGTGTCACCCAGGCTGGAGTGCAGTGGTGTGATCACTACTCACTGCTGCCTCAGCCTCCCCAGCTCAAATGATCCTCCCACCTCATCCTCCCTAGTAGCTGGGATTACAGGTGTACACCACCATGCCCAGCTAGCTTTTTGTATTTTTGTAGAGATGAGGTCTCCCCATGTTGCCCAGGCTGATCTCAAACTCCTGGGCTCAAGGGATCTGCCCATCTCAGCCTTCCAAAGTGCTAGAAGTATAGGTATGAGCCACCTTGCCCAGCCCACACTTCTACTCTTTTCTTTCTTTTTTTTTTTTCAGATAAGGTCTTGTTCTGTTGCCCATGCTGCAGTGCAGTGCAGTGGTGTGATCTTAGCTCACTGTAGCCTCCTCCTCCTGGGTTCAAGGGATTCTCATGCCCCAGCCTCCTGAGTAGCTGGGATAACAGGGATGTGCCACCATACCCGGCTAATTTTTGTATTTTTAGTAGAAATGGATTTTCACCCTGTTGGCTAGGCTGGTCTCAAACTCCTGGCCTCAAGTGATCTGCCCACCTTGGCCTCCCAAAGTGCTGGGATTATAGGTGTGAGCCACTGCCCTCAGCCTCACGTCTACTCCTGAGTTACCCACTTGACCAGAGCAATTGATGACTGGCTGGCCAGGCTTGAGTCTTGTTTGAATCTCTGAAGCTGATGGTAGGGTCAGCTCCATAAGGCCACCTCTCACATGGAGGGATGGCTTCCCAGACATATACTGAGCTACTGTTATCAGACTAAAGAAACGTCAACTCTAGGCCAGCTAAAGAAAGCTTCAGACCTTCTTAGTGGCCTTGGGACTGAAGAAATAACTTCTAGCCAGTACTTGCTGAGCACTAGCAGTGTCCTAGAAAGTTCTAGGCCCTGGAATTCAGCTGTAAACAAGGAAGGCAAAGTCACAGCTCTCATGAGTTAGTCATGTCCATGACCCTGTGCCCAAACCCTGTGCATTTCTCCTCCAAGCACTTTGAGACCCTGTGCCTTCGCTCTTGTCTCTCTCAAACACAGGTCGAGGTTCCCAGGAAGGCAGAGGAATGGGCTGCATGTTCTCCCTGATTAGAGATTTTGGCCCTGCCTGGACTTTATTCAGAATGTAATATGTGGACGTGGCAAGGCTGCACCTGTAATTCTTGGCCCCTTCCTGAAAAACATAGCCTGGTTGGGCACATGGACTTACACCTGTAATCCCAGCACTCTGGGAGGCTGTGGCAGGTGGATCACTTGAAGTCAGGAGTTCGAGACCAGCCCTGGGCAACATGGTGAAACCCTGTCTCCACCGAAAAATACAAATATTAGCTGGGCATGGTGGTGCACCTGTAGTCCCCGGCTACTTGGCAAGCTGAGGCAGGAGAATTGCTTAAACCTGGGAGGCGGAGGTTGCAGTGAGCCGAGATTGCACCACTGCACTCCAGCCTGGGCAACAGAGCAAGACTCCATCTCAAAAACAACACCACCACCACTCAGCGCAGTTGTTGCCCTGTCTGGAACCACTGCGTGATTTGGGCAAATCAGTAAATCCTTCTGAGCCTTCATTCTCATTGGTGGAATGAAACGGTCAGAGCAGGTGACCACCGATATGCGCCCGTCTTAGCACTCACATTCAGTGACTCAAAAGCGGGGGCTATAGACTCAGGCACCTATAGTGGGGAGGCAGGGTGTGAGCCGGGAGAGGGCGTGGCCTGCGGCAGGCAGCCGGTCCTCAGCTTCAGGGAGGTACTGGGGAGTGGTGAGGACTGTGGCGTGCTGGCGAGTGTTCCTTGCCAGAGCTGCAGCGAGTGGTTGCCAGGATAGAACACAGGCCCAGTGCTGTCAGTGTGCAGTTCTTCAAGAGAAGCTGGACATTTGCACTTTTTCCTGAAATCTCCTGGCTCTGAAATGTTGGCATCTCATTCAAATCATTATTTATTTGTTTATTTAGAGATAGGCTCTCAGTCTGCCACCCAGGCTGGAGTGCAGTGGTGCAATCATAGTTCACTGCAGCCTCTAACCCCTGGGCTCAAGCCATCCTCCCGCCTCAGTCTCCTGAGTAGCTGAGACTACAGGTGTGAACTACCATCCCCAACTAATTTTTAAAAATTTTCATAGAGATGGAGTCTCCCTATGTTGCCCAGGCTGATCTTGAACTCTTAGCCTCAAGCCATCCTCCGACGTCAGCCTCCCAGAGTGCTGGGATTACGGCCATGAGCACCTCTTCTTCAGATAGCCTTGAACCTGGTATATAGCCAACATGTCGGTGGCCACATGTCGTCTAGGAGTTACTGCTTGCAACCTTTCTGTTTTAGGGACTATGATGAGGACAGGGTGTCTGAAGCCTGAGAGATCTCGATTGCCATCTGACAAAGGAGGGCTTTTGTCTTTGGGGACCCAGTTGTTTCACTGGCCCCAAACTAAAGAGCACTGAAGGAGAGCCTGTTGTAACAGTTGGTGTCACTGGATCTGTTAACCCTGCTTAGCTAGGCAAGGGCCCAGAGTTGGGGATATTCCAGCACCGCCTCTGCGGATGCAGCTGAGCCTCTCAGGTCTCGCCCTTGAACTTTGGGAAAAGCTTCAGAGTCTGTGGCCTCCAAGGCAGCTGGCTTCCCCAAACCCCACTGGTTGGGTGGGGTGCTGTATTATCTTCCTAGAGAAGCTGTGACCAAGCCCCACTCACTGGGTGGCTTGAAGGACAGAGGTCTGTTCTGTCAGTTCTGGAGGCCAGAAGTCTGGATCAAGCTTCAGCAGGACTGGTTCCTTCTGTGCACTGGAGGGGAGTCTGTTCCAGACCTCTGTCCTGGTGGCTGGTGGTTGTTGACAATCTCTGATGCTCCTAGGCCTATAGAAGGAGCCCCCACCTGCCTCTGTGTCCGCGTGGCCATCTCCCGCTGTCTGTGCATCTGCATTTCCCCTTTACTAGACTGGGCCTGTTGGACTAATGACCTCATTTTCACTTCATCATCTCCGTAAAGGCATATCTCCAAATAAGGCCACATTCTGAGGTCCTGAGGGTTAGAACTGCCACATACGTTTTTGGGGGACACAGTTCAACTCACAGCAGGGTCTGAGCCCAGTTCCTGTAGCTTTGCCCTGGGCCTCCCTTGGCTCTAGTCCTCATCGGCTTCCCACAAAGCTCTTGTTCCTTCCAGCCCCTGCTCCTCAACTTGCTTCCTGCTCCCGGGCTCCAGACCCAGGGAACTTGTTTCTGTTGCCCTCCCTCTCCTACCTCTTTTCCACAGGGGGCCTTCTCAGAAGCTGTTTCCTCTTCTGGGAACAAATTCCTGCTCCCTTAGCACCTACTCACCCTGCAGGTTTCAGTCTAAATAGCTTTTCCCCAAGAGGGGCCTTCTTTCACCCACCCTTACATAGATCTCAAGTAGGCCCCTCTGCTGTTCTCTTTGGTCACACACTGGTCTTCTGCCCTAGTCTGTGCTTGTAGATTCACTTGTACACCTACTGTTTTTCTAAAGACGGGGTCTCATCCTCTCGCCTAGGCTGGAGTGCGGTAGTGCAATCTTGGCTCACTGCAAGCTCCACCTCTAGGTTCAAACGATTCTCCTGCCTCAGCCTCCTGAATAGCTGGGATTACAGGGGTCTACCACCGCACCCAGCTAATTTTTTTTGTATTTTTAGTAGAGATGGAGTTTCACCATGTTGGCCAGGCTGGTCTCGAACTCCTGACCTTGTGATCTGCCCACCTCGGCCTCCCAAAGTGCTGGGATTACAAGTGTGAGCCACCCTTGGCTCTCACCTACTGTTTTTTTTTTTGAGACGGAGTTTCGCTCTTGTTACCCAGGCTGGAGTGCAGTGGCGCGATCTCGGGTCACCGCAACCTCCGCCTCCTGGGTTCAGGCAATACTCCTTCCTCAGCCTTCTGAGTAGCTGGGATTACAGGCACGTGCCACCATGCCCAGCTAATTTTTGTATTTTTAGTAGAGACAGGGTTTCACCATGTTGACCAGGATGGTCTTGATCTCTTGACCTTGTGATCTACCCGCCTCGGCCTCCCAAAGTGCTGGAATTACAGGTGTGAGCCACTCTGCCTGGCTTTTTTTTAAAGACAAAGTCTCGCTCTGTCATCTAGGCTGGAATGCAGTGATGCGATCTTGGCTCACCGCAACCTCTACCTCCCAGGTTCAAATGATTCTCCTGACTCAGCCCCGAGTAGCTGGGATTATAGGCTCGAGCCACTATGCCCAGCTAATTTTTGTATTTTTAGTAGAGATGGGGGTTTCACCATGTTGGCCATGCTGGTTTTGAACTCCTGACCTCAGGTGATCCACCCACCTCGACCTCCCAAAGTGCTAGGATTACAGGCGTGAGCCACCATGCCCAGCCTTGTGCAACTACTTTTAAATATTGGTACCCCTCACTGGACTGTCAGTCCCTTGAGGGTAAAACTACATCTGTTTTGTTTATCCAGCGGATGATCATTCCTTTATAATTACTTGATGAAAGAACAAATGAATGAATGAATTTCCTTGAGGACCTCTGTGGGCCTCAGTTTTCCCATGTGAGACAGAGTGTGGCTGGCTGAGCCCATTTTCCCAGGCGGGACATCGATGTCCCAGGCAGGACATCGTCTGTGGCCTTCGCAGGATCCTTGAAGCCATTTTGGGCCTTTATGTGGTGCCTGGGATAAGG